TTAATATCATCACGTACTAGTGTGCTTTTATCGTACTATTATAGTGCAATTATACACATAACATGTGCAGCTATATTAAAAGTCAAAAATTACAAATTGGTCCTCAATATATGTCTAATTTTCAAGAATAGAAACCCAAATCAATTTTCAATCCCTGCAACCAGAATTCAGCCCTGTACCAGCCGCCTTTGCCTGCCACGCTGCCGCCGTCCTCAGATCCCGCGCGGAGACTCACACGACCAGCTTCTCCACTATCTTCTCCTATCAAATAGAGGTCCGTCTCCCTGACAGCTCGATTTAGCATCGTCTCCGACTTGAATTCACTCCTCTCGAAGCACAACGCCGTCGAGTACACCGACGATGTCCCACCGTGAAACTCATATCCACCCTCTGGCTCCGGGTACGACGAGCCTTTTTTCCAAAACTACGACCTGGAGGATGACTATCTCGCGCTATCGTGGAGATCGGCGTTAATGTCGATGTAGTCGGCGATGTTCGGCTGATGGTAGCGACGGGCTGAAATTCAGCTTGGCACGTCGATGAATGGCAGACGGTGCGTCTATTGTATGGCGGCGGTCCGACGGAGATCGGTGGACACGTATGGTGGTCCGGCGGTGGCCTGTGATGTCGAGGGATGAAGCGGCGACGTACTGGCGGTCCGAAGATGGTCTGGGATATCGAGGATGACGCTGCGGCGCACTGGCGGTCCGACGATGGTCTGTGGAGGATGTTTCCGGCGATGGTCTGTGGAGGTTGGGTGGGTGTGTGTGTGCAGTACGTGTTTGTGTGTGTGGGTGGGTGAAAAGATATTGATGAATTGAACGAGATAAGTGGGAGGGACGATGGGTAGGTTGGGGCCCACATGTTAGTGGGTTGATAACAAATGTCCAGTTTACCCTTAATTTGTGGTCAAATGTCTATATTTGACCATTAATTATACACTTATTTTCAAAATTGCCATATCATGTTTGACTCTCTCATTTAATATTAGACTAGATCATGACCATTAATATGTTGGATCCAATGTTCTACATTCATTCTTATTTCTTCACTATTAATCATTCTTATATGATCCTTTCTCTCTCTCTCTATATATATATATATATAACAAAATAAGTAAGTTAATAATATTAAATATATTTTTACAAATCAATCAGCTATCTGACCAAACATCTTTTTTAGAACTGCTAACACTATCAGCCGGTCAAAACAACCAATACTAACAGCTGGTCAAAACAATTATCACAATCCGCTATCCGTTAAAGCTAACTGTTATATACCAAACAAGGCCTTCTTCTATTTCCTTTCGTTTTTGTTATGGCAGAGAGTGAAAATGGTTGATAGAAAAAGGAGTTGGAGTGAATAAGATAAGGCGTTTATGTAGTACCACGCGTTTAGATATCGGTACTATTTCTATCTTTTAGGGCATCCACATCTTATTAACCAAAATGTTATTCATTCAATCAAAAAGTAACACTCTCTCACATCCACATCATCTTTCTACTTATTCTCTCTCCATTTAAATACACACTCACATTTCTACACATTCATTTAAATACTTATATGTGACTCACATTATTCACTCATTCAATACAATTTTAATATTCTACTCCCAACCAAAATAAAAATTTAATATTTTTAAATTATAAAAATAAATTTTAATTTAATGAAAATAAAAATAAAACTTAAATTAGGTAACATTTGAATTTATCTATATTGGAATGTGTGATATATAAAGAATAAATTAAATAAAAATAAATGAATAAATAAATAAAAAACAAAAAGAAAAAAATTTAAATAATTAATATTTTTGAAACAAAAAAAAAAAGAAAAGAAAAAAGACAACTTGGCTTGACGCGTCAATAGCTTGAACGCATGAGTGGGCCCCCCTCTTTTAATGAACGAGTCGCAACGCAATAACGGGAAGCGGTCGTTTAAACGAATACTTTTAAATGGGCGATACGGATGCTCATAGTAGTAATATTTATTGTTTCCCAAGTTGGATCTAGATTTTAGATGCAGCTTGGTTCTCTCTTGTGATCAGTGGATCATTGATTTGTACAAACTCTTCTTTTTGTGAGTAATATAGATTTTATCGTTAGAAAAAAAAAAAGTAATAATATTTGTTGTTATTTGTTATGGGATATGTTATATATTTTAATATATTGATTTTTCAGGAAATTAATATGTATGCATAATTGAATGATCATGAGATTCTGATAGGAAGAGAGGTAGATGAGCATTTTTATTGGAATGCCAAAAAAAAAAAAGTTACTATTTCAATATATATTTAACAATTTTAGTAAAAATTGAAAAGCAAAACTAATTTCTCTCCTAATATTTTTTATAAATCATTATTGTTTTTACGTGATAAACTAATAAATTATTATATAAATAGAATAATTAATTCTGTATTTAAGAGAGGGTTAATAGACGCGTATTTAGTTTGTTAGTCATACAACGTTGAGATATCTTATATGATAAATTGTACTTTCAATAATATTCGATTCAATATGCATATACATAAAATAATAAATTTATTTTGATAAATATAAACTATATATATAACATAACAATGCAAGTTTTAAGTATTAATTCAAACTACAACCTTTCATGTTCATGCATACACCCCAAAAAAAAGTTCTAAATTATAATCTCGTGTTTTATTATTTCTTTACTCAAGTATGGCTCCTGCAAAAATAGTTTCGTTGTTGCTTATTTTGTCCTGCTTTTGCTCTCCTCTAATGGTCAAGGCTAATCCGCTTCGAATTTGCAGGTTCGACAAAATATTTTAATTAGGCGATTCGATTTATGATACCGGAAATTTGATTCGGGAGGTGCCGATTGGTGCCTCGACTCCATTCGCGCGCTTACCTTACGGCCGAGACTTCCACTGGACACCCACCGACCGTTGCTCGAATGGCCTTCTCATGATTGATTTCATAGGTAACTTTTCACTTACTTCAAATTCTTTTGAGTTTATTAGTTTTTTACTTACTTCAATTTCTTTTGATTTTATTAGTTTAAGTTTCTTGATGTATACTAATTAAAGGAAGTTTTGTTTTTTTTTTTTCCCGATTAATTGGCGAAATTAACAGCACGAGCTTCCGGGCTTCCTCTTCTTCACGCCTATAAGGATCCGAACGGCGAATTCAGCAACGGTGTCAATTTTGCGATGGCGGGGTCCACTGCCTTGTCATGCGACACGTTGGCCGCCATGCATGTATTGTCGCCGGTGACAAGGAGCTCTCTCGCCGTCCAGCTGGACTGGTTGTCGACACATCTGAACTCGACTTAAGCAATCACAAAGGTATTGTTCGATCGATATTCGATTTTTTAACGTCAAACTTGTTTAATTTCAGGACCTTTTTAGAAATTTCAATTTAATCACTTTTGCAAATTATATCACAATCTTTATTTATTGCAAATCGATGAACCGATTTGTAGAACCCGTGCAAATTTTATCACAAATTGAAGATTGTGATATTATTTGCAAAAATAAAAAGATCGTGATTAAATTACAAATTTTGAAAAAGGTCGTGATATTAGAGAAAATTTTGCCTTATATGAAGTACAAAGATTTGATTTTGATTAGCAAATGTTGCAGATTGTGCGAGCACGCGCTATTCATGGTTGGCGAAATTGGTGGCAACGACTACAACTACGCGATATTTCAAGGGAAGTCGATGGACGAGATGAGGCAAATGGTTCCTCAAGTGGTCGATGCGATTCTTAACGGTGTTAGGGTAAGTTCTAATCAATGGCATCCTGTAACAAAAAAAAAAAAAGTTAATTGCCAATTAAACCTTGACCTTTTCAATTTTGGCAATTTAATCCCAACTTCTAGATAAATGCAATATAATCCCAGCCTTGTTTTACGTTTGCAAAATGAGATCGAAACCCGTCGGACGGCGAAAAGTTGCCAGCGTGTCCGACTGGTTTTATCTACGTGTAATTTTGAGTTTGCTGAGCAAGATTAAGTGAAATACGTGGATTTTCTGAAAAAATGGTATAAAAATAATTTCCTTCCCCAATTTCAGAAATCCCCAAATCGACATCGACTAACCCTAAATTAAAGCTCAGTAGACTTTTTTCTTTCTTGCAGACGGTAGCTCGCACAAGACACAATCGTGCTAGTGGAAGATGTCGTCTTCATCTCGCGCAAGCCAGAGTTCTGGAAGATTCAGTGTTCCTTCGAAGAAGCTCTGTCACCATGGCGACGAAGATGATGTGTTCACCTCTATGATGTACGAGAATATATGTAGAAGGTTCCATAGATGTCCTAAGAGTAAGGTGAGCTACGTATATTGCGTGAGAACCCTAATTTTGTTCAAAACCCCTAAATTTTATAATCTTAATTAGAAACCTCAATTTCAGAAACCCTAATTTTTTGATTTACATTGTTTAGGAGGGGAATGACTGCCGATTTTTTGAGTGGATTGATCCCGCACTTCCTGAGTTCCAAAAATATTTTTTTGTGCGATTGAAATCCAAGAACGAGTATTTGGAAGAGCAGCTGAGGCATAAGGTTGCAGTGGAGAAAATAAACAATGGAAAGGCATTGGAAAAAGATGAAATTGTGGAATGTGGTATTGAGTTTGAACAAAAACTGAATGGTCTTGAGGTTTAAGTTCAGAAGAACAATGAAGTCTTGTTGGTTCTGAAAAATACATTAGCACTTATGCATAAATTGGAAATGAAGATGCATTTTGTAATGATTTGCTTGTTTGTGGTTATTTTGCTTGTTTTCTTTAGTTTGTTTGGGAAATCTAGTCATAAGCAGGGGCCTAAAATGTTGCTTTGAATATTGTTCTATTTTTTTTTTTTTTTTNNNNTAATTTGATGAATGTATTGAACTTAAGAACTAATGTAATCTATTGGTGGTATGTTTTATCTCATTGTTATTGTTCTTTGTTTTTTGTTATGTTTTGCAATTTATAGGAAACTGAGATCACATAGTTACATAACAAATCAACACATTATCCTTAGACCTGCACAATACTTAGACCTGCTTACTTCCAAAACATCACATACTTGACACAACAAAATTGTAACACCCCACTTTGGTTTTAAAAAAATTTCGGACTTTCCAAAAATCAGTAAATAATTTTTTGAGATCATTTTCGAAATCTAACGGGTGTTGAATAATATTTTTCATAACCCAAGTCTTATCTGGGCCCACGGGGATTCATTACCTGATTTTCACAAGTTTTTAATTAACCCAAATCATATCTCATGACAAAATACTCAACATGAATATTCAAACCTCATAAAAACCAAACATCATAAACAAGGGTCTATCAAGTATTTCCAACAACAAAACAAGTCATAAGTTTTGGAAAAAAAAATTCACAAGCCTCAACATAAAAGGTTCAACAAGACCGCATTTATTCTAACAGAAGCAAAATATATAGGCATAATCAATAGATCGACCCACTCGTCTTTCCTCGTCACCCGGCACCTGCTTAACCTGCATCCGTGAAGAGCAGGTGGGGATGAGCACAAGATGAAAACGAGGTGCTCACCACTATGCACGTATAGCACAATAATGAATAATGTAAAGAAGGCGGCATGGTCGCAGTATAAACATAAATCAATTACCTGTCACATCCCCATATCATATCACGATATACTACCCCTGTGTACACATCTTTCATTAGCCACGGAAAGGGGATTCATTACCTAACGGTGGGGGTACGGGTGTTTGCAAAATATTTTCACTACCCGCAAGTGTACGGTGTAGCTGTAGAAAGCGGCGAGCAAGGTCGTATTCCACAGAGACTGTTGTTAAACTAATTAAGTACCAAAATATAGACAATTAAATATTATTTAGACTAACTCGAATTTGAATGGTGATTTCGATCTAAAATAATGAATGCTTGCAAAATAAATTCTAAAAGTAAAGAAGGCTTGTTCTAAATAAATCAAGTATGAGAAAATAGATTCTAGGCTATGCTTTCCTCGGGATTATTCTAGCGAAATTTTCTTATTCATTCAAACCTTATTTAATTCTACTAATCATAGGGATAATCGCTAAAGTAATTTACACCTTTCTCTCGAACAAGTTAAATCGTAGATATTAATTGCTATCTATCTCCTCTCGGTCTCAAGATGAACAACTAACTCCTATAAGCTCCTAAGATTCTAGTTCCCTCGCAAGATTCTATCAACCTCTCGGTTTGTTTAGTCTTTTACGTTATGAATTTCCCAATTCTAGCAATCAATTATCTCCTCTCGGTCTCAAATCAATTACAAATATGCATTCATAGCGGCCATCTACTCACACAATAATAATAAGCACAAGAAATTGATAAACGAAAGATAGACCGGAATGAATAAACAAAATCACTTCATAAAATAATCCGAGTACTCACAAATCCTAAAACCTCAAAGAGATTTAGCTACTAAACATATTCTCAATACTCAAAATAAACAAATCCATGAGTTCAATGAAGAAGAAAAAGAGAAAACAAAGAATAAATATTGTTGCCGTTAGTTCCCGGATCTTCAATCTTGACTCCCTCGAATCTCTCGTGTGTTTTGTGCTTTCTCTAGGCCTCCAATGGTGTCAAAAGTCCCAAAACCGTGTTCTTTATGTTCCTTATATACTGTAGGGCAGTTATGGGTCGAAAAAGAGATCAAAATCGCGTAGGTTTCCTATTTTCCGCTGGTTTAACTACGCGTCACACGACTCGTGTCACATGCCACACGAGTCGTGTGACATTCCTCGAATTTTTTCCCCGCTCCCAGACTCACACGGTCAACCTACACGAGACGTCACACGAGTCGTGTGAGCCCACACGACTCGTGTCGTTGGCCACACGACTCGTGTGGTAAAGCCGCAACAAAATCCACAAAAGCTCGATTTTTCTCACCCCACACAACTCTTGTCACACTCCACACGAGTCGTGTGACTTGTCTGCACCTTATTTTCGTTGTTTTTCATCCCGATTCCATCTTTAACGCTTTTTCGAGCATATTTCCTGCAAAATCAACGACAAATATACCTCCACCATAGATTAATAAATCAAACAAAATGGTGCACAATCCCACGATAAACACGGTCAAACATCACACTATATCACTCATAATGCATGAAAATATGATGAATGTCAACTCCCCGAAGCTTAAACCCTTGTTCGTCCCCGAACAAGAACAAGAAAATCAGAACTCAAGCATAATGAGTGATATCTAACTAGAACAGCTTCAAGTTCTTCAATGCAACCAAGAAAAATTCAAACGGTCATAATTATCATGCTTTTGACTACTATCTTGTGTCTACCTTGAATCAACAAACTCTCAAATAGGAATATATGAGGGCCTCACTCACATGTCATCAATATATAAAAGAGAAGGATACGCTCAAGTCAAATTAAACACCCAGTTAACTATATGTTTGCCAATCATCTAACACCCTACTTCAAACACAATTAGTAATTATGAGCTTTAAATCAAAAGGTCTTTTCGGGCTGTAACGTAGGCTATTTGGTCAAGGGTAAGATATATATGGATAAAGTGGCTCAAATAAACAATCATACCAGTCGAGTAAATAGACTACTCGACTACTCCGCTACTCATCCCTAATCAACATGAAGTGTTTCTCATCCCCAAACCAAAATAATCCATACACAACTCATAAATGCTCAAATCAAACTGCAAAGAGAGTACTTGACCGTTTTTTTCCTTTTTTTTTTTCTTTTTTTTTCAAGGGGAGTTTACTTCTTCCAAACAAGATCAAACCGTAAGGACAACATTCCCTAGATGTAAACATTGGATGTCATCCAAGTATCCTAGAGTAGTTTCCCATACTCATTACTTGTCAAACTCAATCAACTCGTAAGAGGAGTAGAATCCCAACATTTCAACTTGCGAGCTCCCTTTATTATCATTTTAGTTTCTTTCATCATTTTTTTTTTTTTTTTTTTTTT